TATTTACTCAAAAGAAATGAACACAATTACTGTGTATACAATTACATGAATATTCGTAGCAAATCTTGAATAACAGCCAAAAACTCAAGGCCATTGATAGGTAAATATAAAAAATATGATAGGTTTTCTGGGCAGTACCATGGAATAAGTACCTTACAAAAGGCATAAAAAATGATCCAAGAAGAAAGCAGTTGATCCATTTTCTAAGAAATATCAGTATGATATGAAAGCATCAGCTATGTTCAATACAAGAAATACCGGGGAAAAAAAGTTACAAGGATTCAAGCAACCAGAATTGCATCTGATGGTCATATTTTTTAAATGAGCCTTGCTGATCTATCAAACAATGAAGTTTCATTTAGAAGATTCAAGCTAATTATGAGGATGTTCAAGGCAAACACTTCCTGACAAACTTCCATGACAGCCACAGCAGCAAATCCACAGCAGACTAAATACAAAAAGATCAAATCCAAACACGTTATAGTCAAGTCCTAAAGAAAAAGAGAAACATATTCAAAACAGATAGAAGGTATATTTTGAAAGAACTGAAAGAAAAACTTGTCAACCTGGAATTTAATATTTGCGAAAATTGTCTTTCAAAAAGAAGGCAAAATATGTACATTTACAGATAAATAAAACCTTAGAAAATTCATAGCCATGAGACTTGCACACAATAAATGCTAAAGGAAATTTTCCAGGCTAAAGGAAAATAATACAAGGTAGAAACTCAGATAAACAAAAGAAGAATGAAAATTGTTTAAAGTAGTGAATATGTGATTAAACATAAAATATTTTTTTCTTTTCTTAATTTCTGGAAAAGATAATTTACTTTAAAGTAAAATAATTATAATGTATTGAGAGATTCATAACATAGATAAAAATATGTATTTGGAAATAATTGCATACATGTTAAAAATTAGGTAAATGAAGGGCTGGCTGAGTAGCTCAGTTGGTTAAGAGCTTGCTCAAGAGTTTGAGCTCTGAGCAACAGCAGTTCGAGTCCAGCCTGAGCTGAGCAGCTGCTGAGCTGCCAACAGGTAGCAGGATGGCTCAGAAAAAAAAAAAAAAAAAAAAATTAGGTAAATGAGGTTATACTGTTGAAAGTTTTTTATGTTACCTATGGGGCAATATAATATTAATTCATGGTGGACTCTTATAAGTTAAGGTTACATACCATAATTCAAGGAGCAATTACGAACAAAAAACAAAAAGTATAGCCCAAAAGCCAATTGTGGAAATAAAGTAGAATACTGAAACATACTTGAATTGATTTGATGTAAAGATTCAAAAGAAATGAGTATAGCTATAACAGAGAAGAGAAAACAGATGGGACAATGAGGAAACAAAACAATGATGGACATAAAACAAATGTATTAATAATTACATTAAATACAATGGGCCAAAAACCCCAATTATAAAACAACACTAGTCACACTGAATTAGGAAGCATGCTGATTACAAAAGTTGCACATGAAATGTAAAGAGACAGATAGGTTAAAAATAAAAGGATAGGGAAAAAGACATGTCATACATACCAATATATATGGTGAATATCATTATCAGAGCACATGGAATTTAAAGCAAGACACATCACCAATAAAAAAGGAGACATTTTGCAAAGATAAAAGAACTCATAAAAACCTTAATGCTTATACATGCAATAGGAAAGCTTCAAAATACACAAAGGAAATGTGACAGAACAAAAAAGAAAAAGACAAATTGATAATTAGATTTGGAGATTTTAGCACTTCCTTGGTTAAATGTTACTTGGTTGCATATGTAGGTAAAAATCAATTGAGCTGGTCATTTCAGATTTCTGAATCTTACTATATGTAAATTATATTTCAATAATAAAGAAAGTAAAAACACCTGACAATAAGGAAAACAGGAGAAACAAAGAAATGACGAACCTACACTAATATGTCAGTTAATTTGGAATTCAGTGATTTCTTGGTAGCCTCAACTTCTTTTCCTGATCGCTGAGGCAGGCTCTCCTTGGTCTATTCAGGTCTCCAAAATTTGAGGAACGTCCCAGTCTGAACTTTTTATGATCTTGTGGCAACCAACAAGTTAAAACTATGGTCCTGAACCAGGCCCTCTTCTGGGAATTTCTAGAAAATTGCTCAGGGAAATTCTTTGTTTACAGAGGGTAACAGAGCTGGATGCATTGGTGTCCCATGAGTGCAAAACTCAGAACACAGCTCAAGGAGTCAGATCTATAACTCAAGGTCTGGGGCAACAGATGTGGTACACTGAAGCTGAGAAGCCTCTAACTAGCCTAAATTCATTTCTGTTTCCCACTGTGGTGAAATGGTAAGTGCAACAGGACCCTAACATAACATTTTCTTTTTTTTTTAATTAAAGTTTATTGGGGTGACAATTGTTAGTAAAAATACATAGATTTCAAGTGTACAATTCTGTAATACATCATCTGTATATCACATTGTGTGCTTACCACCACTGACTCTGGGTGGTGAACATAACATTATCTTATAATACTTTGTCTCCTGAAGGATATCTGAAACATGAGTACTCTAAGAGTTGGGACTTAGAGAGGACTATGAATAAGGCTGACTGTATGAAAGTTCCAGAATTTTGATATAGGAGAGGCTTTTAAAAAAAGGTTTAAAAAATTTTTTTACATTTGTTATTAAAGATTGCAATAAGGGAATGGAGGGAGTTTTTTCTTGGAGCTATGTTTGTCTGACAAGTGGAGAATTCAACTTAAATTTGGAGAAGAAGCTATGAAAATTAAGAATGCATTAAATCTCCTTTTAGCCACCCAATATGACTGTTCACTTCACCTGTTCATGATTCGTTTGAAAACATCCAGTTGTTCACACAGTTAGACAAAATGCTAGATAGAGTTGGAACTCTATGTAAGGCAGGGACTGAGAAGGAGGAAAACTAGCCTCTTGTAAGGCTAAATTTTATCTGCCCTGCCAAAGAATCAGAATGCAAACATTTCAAGTCAGGCCTTGGATAAGTCTTAGCTGCTAGACTAGACTCAGAGGAGTTTAGTCTTGAAAGAAAGGACAGATGATATGACATTATGATCTCAAGTTGTTAAAAAAAAAAGTTTGTAATAGAAACCAGGGAACAACCTAGTTATGCCAAATGAGTCATATGCAATTAGAAAGGAAGCACTACAGGGAGCAGTATAGGGTAGTGCAGACAAGTAAATAGCAAATCACAGGATCATTGCAGTATTGTAAGAGTTAGAATGCAAGTTATGGTAGAGGTACATAGACTTTGCTTGGAGTGCTCAGGAGAGAAGACTTCAGCAGCTCCTGAGTTGACCTAATTAGAATTGCCAAAGAGCTAATAACAATTTTAAAGGACCTCTGTGTACTTTTGGGGATTTTAGAGGTCAAATAGTGGTCATTCCCCAGATCATGACATTACCGCTGCTTTATCCTACGGGGAAGGCAGCTTAGTTTCCAAGAAGAGGATTGGTCCTTAATGACAACTCATTAGTGTTTCATTCTGGAGGATCAACTAGTTGAAAAGCTTGTATTTCTGATTTCTAATACCGTTGTCAAGAGTCCTCTGACAAAGCCTGAGCCTCTCATTTCAACCCTCACTTTCTCTAGGCAAAAGGGGTAGAAACTGATATGCTCTATGTATCTTGGAACTTCACTGTCCCTGATGAATGTATTTCCATAAAGAGAAAACTTTCAAAGCACTTACACTATTATTATTTTTATATCACTTATGAACTGTTTAGAGCTAACTAATTAACTCAGTTTCCTGTGAAAAAAATCTACAGTGATAGAACATCTATTTATCTTATGGTGTCAGAAAAAAATAATAGATTCAGATAATACCAATCGCCTTCATCACCAACATACTATGTCTCTAACATTGCCACCCACCATGACTGGCCTATTATCCAGTTGACTAAGCCACTTTCTGTCTGTGATAGTCTATGTTGGACTTTAGAGAAAGTCCAAGAATCCTTTCTCTCCCCCCATGCTCGAGGATGGAGAATACTGCTGTGAATTAGTCACTTTCAGGGCATTCTATCTGCTTCCATATAAAAACATGGGATTTTTCATTGTATTATAAGAGAGAGTTAACAGTCAAGCATGTATAACCTATTTTCTGTCCTTCCTTTGTAGTGCTTGCTATGGAGATCTTGTGAGTAAAATCACTTTTAGAAGCTCCAGGCCTGGTCTGAAAATTATTTGGAGCAAAAAAGTCTAGCAATTGGAGAAACACTTATTATCAACTCTCTTAAATCTAACTCCTGCAGTTTCCCAGTTACTTTTTTTTTTTCAAGATTCTAGGCTCAGAGGGACCAAGCAAAAAGAGTTATCCTGTAGTTCAGCGTGACTGTATAAATTTTTTTCATTGGCTTAGAGGTAGAAAGGGGCAAAGCCTAATAGTAAAAGAGGAATTTATTTGCTGTTTATGTGGGTATTTTTTTCTGAGAACGTTATGGAGAATTGTAATTGATCAAGACAGTACCTATATTTCTGGTTCTTTTTGTCAATTAACATTACCCGAGTCTATTAGCAATTGTCTGTTTAAAAGAAATACCTCATTCTTTTTTATTTTTTTACTATTAGTTTCAGATGTACAAAACAACATAATGATTAGACATTTACTCAACTCAGAAAGTGGTAACCCCAACAAGTCTACTAACCCTCTGTCTGACATCATACATAGCTATTGCAATACTATTGGCTATATACCCTATGCTGTACTTTACATCCCATAGATGATGATGATAGATAGATAGATAGATAGATAGATAGATAGATGATAGATAGATAATTTTAATTATAATTGACATTCAATATTATTTTATATTAGTTTTAGGTATACCGCATAGTGGTTAGGCAAGAAATACCTCCTTCTTGTATTCCTTAATATGAGAAATCTCTCAAAATTGTATTTTCTTTGTGTATGTCTCAGACAAAAGTGCTGAAATGAGGGAGATGAACATAATAGAACTATGTTAAAAGTGGGAATAAGTACTTTCCAACTGATTCATCATGCACACTGCCAATTCTTCTAAAATTGAGATCACCACCTTCTTCCTGATTGGAATCCCAGGACTGGAGCACCTCCATGAATGGATCTCAATTCCCATCTGCTTCATGTACCTGCTGGCCATCCTCGGCAATTGCACCATCCTCTTTGTGATCAGGACAGAACCCTCGCTCCACGCGCCCATGTACTATTTCCTCTCCATGCTGGCTATCTCTGACCTGGGCCTGTCCTTCTCCTCCCTCCCCACTATGCTGAGGACCTTTGTTTTCAATGCTACAGGAATTTCTCCAAATGCCTGCTTTGCTCAAGAATTCTTTATCCATGGATTCACAGATATGGAGTCCTCAGTGCTCCTGGTCATGTCCTTCGACCGCTTTCTGGCCATACGAAACCCTCTAAGATACAATTCTATCCTCACCAATGCCAGAGTCGCCAAGATGTGCCTGGTGTTTTCCATTAAAAGCATGGTCTTAATGCTCCCGTTTCCTTTCGCTCTCAAAAGTTTGACATATTGTAAGAAAAGCCAACTTTCTCATGCTTATTGTCTCCATCAGGATGTCATGAACCTGGCCTGCTCTGACAACTCAGTTGACTTTTTCTACGGTTTCTTTGTTGCCCTCTGTATGCTGTCAGACAGTGTGTTCATTGCTCTGTCCTACATATTCATCCTGAAGACCGTGATGGGAATTGGATCCCATAAGGAGCGGCTCAAGGCCCTCAACACCTGTGTCTCCCACATCTGTGCTGTGCTCATCTTCTATGTGCCCGTCATTGCTTTGGCCTTTATGCACCGCTTTGGCAATCACAAATCCCCAAGTGCCACGATCCTCATTGCTGACATTTTCTTGCTAGTGCCGCCTCTGATGAACCCCATTGTATACTGTGTGAAGACACAGCAAATTCGTAAGAAGGTTCTGGGAAAATTGGGTCTAAAATAAAGGTATGGGAGAAAGTGAGGCAGGGTCAGCTGGGATCAGAGAATAGTTACACTGTTTACAACACAGGGAGGTAAAGATTGTGCCCCCTTCTAGAGAAGGAATATTAAAGGAGCTGGAAGCTAAAGGATGTTACCCCAATCCAATTATTCATTTTCTTTCAGGCAGCCTTCAGACATGTTGTATTTGTTAAGAGGTCTTCAGTCAATTTCATGCAAGTTCTTGATTTCCCATTTAAGTGAAAGAAGTTTATTGTCAAGTATGAGTTTGCTCTTCCCTTCATAATCAAATAGGGACAACGAGTGATTCTCTTTAGAGCTCCCCTAACCTTGAATTATGATAATAAGTTCCCTTATAACATTCTTTAAGACAGACCATATTTTAATCTATATTACAACAGAATTCCAAGAACTTATAGTTACTAAAAGGAGATCAGAGATATTATTCTGTTATTGAAAAGAAATGGAAAAGCTAATAGTACAGTGATTTTTAAAGCATTGATATTTATGATTAAACACTCTAGAATATATGCTGTAAAATAATGGCTTTCATGCTTGTTTAGGTACTTGGTATTTTGAACTATGATACAGTCAATTGCACTAAACAAGCTAGACATATTTTTAAACTAGCAGAAAATAGGACCATATATTAAGCAACATAAAATAATATGCATGCACATATGTTTCCATTTAAAGAAGACAAACAGCAAACTAAAGATGATTGGCTATCTCAAATTATGAAGCATGATCAAAACATACAGTAAATGTTTAAATTTTTTTAAAAATTACAGTAAAAGACACATTGCCATGAATCTCCCTCAAAATACTCCCCCTTGCTTTGAACACACATATCCCATCATTCTTGCCACTTCCTGAAGCAGTTCTGGAAGTCCTCTTTCATGAGTGTCTTTAGTTGAACTGTCATCGCTGCCTTTATGTCCTGAATCCATCCAAAACATTTTCTTTTCATGGTCATTTTGACTTTGGGGAAGAGCCAGAAGTTGCATAATGCCAGATCTGGTGAATAAAGTGGATGAGGGCACACTTAAAGTTTTTATTTGATAGAAATTGCCATACCGGAAGTGATGCGTGACATGGAGAGGTGTCATGATGGAAGATGAGGTAAAGACACTCATGAAAGAGAACTTCCAGAACTGCTTCAGAAAGTGGCAAGAATGATGGCATAAGTATGTTCAAGGTGAGGGGGAAGTACTTCGAGGGGGATTAATGGCAATGTGTCTTTTACTGTAATATTTTTTTTAATTTAAACATTCACCGTAGTTTTTTATCACACCTTGTATTTTCATAAAATTCATGTGTTCTTGTTCATCTGTTATTTGTGAGTACTTCATAGCAGACAAAGTTATAAAACATAAAATTTAGAATAAGTCAACCAACCCTGAAAAACTTGTACTGTGAATTGGGAGAAAAAAGTTGGGAGTAACAAATTTCAATGTTTTACTACCTGAGGCGAACTCACAAGTAATTAATATTATTTGTTTCAAAAAAAACATTTTGAAGAAGCTGTTCTCTGATGAATAAATATTCTTATATATTTTGTGCCCCCGGGTGAGTTCAACTGAGTTCTTTTTGTTCAGTAGCTGACCCTGTCCAGAACCCATAGCTTAATCAAGGAAGGGAGGAACAATCTTTCATGCCATAATTATTAGTTCACATGTCTGTCTCTCTTACTTGAATTTTGTTTTCTCAAAAGAACTGTAGACATCAAATTTGTTGGCAATCTTCAGTACTTGTACAGTGTATATAAATTATATCTTGATAGTAGTCTAATATCTTTTCTAACTTGTTTGAGAAAAAAATCAGAACAACAACCAAAAAAACTTTGAAAACTCAGACTATGATAATAAATTACAAGCACACTGAACATTTGGAATCATAGAAAACCTATTGCCAAATTCAGTAAGAGGAAACTGTAAATTTTAAGTCAAAGAAGGTGCCCTGAAAACCAGGTCATGTCCTGTACAAGCACAAGAAAAAGAAAACAGGTTGTCTAAAAGCAGCATGGAAGAATACTTATCCTCCTTTTAGTATTTGCCTTCAACTCACAAATTTAAATCTTTACAAGACAGAAGTGGCCTAAGTCATAAGATGTGAATAAATGTTGTTTCTGGATCAGAAGAGTAAATAGACTAAAATTTGTCTGTTTTCCTCAATTATAATATAGGTTTAATGCATTTACAATCAAGCTCACAGTAACATTTCATTGAGAATTTACCAAAATAATTCTAAAAATAGATTTATAAGGGTAAACTGGAGAATGTAAGATAAAAATAAACAGGAACTGTAATAACATTTCATGTGATAGTGATGTTTATTAAACAGCTATAAAGTTGTGTGTAGTTTGCTCAACAAATCAATGGGAAGAACTGAGAAATAGAATAAATACACTGCAATGTACCATACATCATATGAAAATTATATATAATTAATGAATATCAGAACATCATTGAAAATAGATTGATTATTCAAATAATAGTGGTAGACAAAAATTGCAATCTACTTATAAAACCATATTTGTGTGATCTCTTATCAAACACAAAAACAAAAATAAATTAATAATTAAGTGCAAAGATAATTTTTTAATTCACTTAAACATAACTAAATAAATTATCTCTTGTTGGGAACAATTTTCTAAGGAAATAGCTATAATGGAAGAGTGTTATGTGTTTTTATTCAAAAGCAATTAGGTGTATGAATAACATTTAAATAGTTGTAATTTGGAAGATAATAACATAGAATATTTTCAGTGCCTACCAGGTATCAGATATTGAGCTATAAATTTGCCTGTATTAACTCCACTAACTTTTACAAGAATGTAAGAAAGTAGATCTTAAGATATTACTTCCCCCTATTTTGTAAATTAAGAGGTTAAAGCTTTGAAAAGTTAAGCAACATTTCTAAGATACAGAAATATAAAGTGTTAAGAGCTTGCGTTTAAATCCAAAGCCTAAAACCTCATCCACTACACTAGACTGTCATTTTTGCCTCCTTCAAAACTTAATAATTTACATTCTAGGAATGTAAGAATATAATCAAAGGTGTGATCAAATTGGTATTTATAAGAATATATATCAAGGTTTATTTTCTATGATAAAATACTGTAAACTACTGAAATGTTAAATAATAAGAAATGGTAACATTAATCATGATATACAAATAATATCAAATATTATTTACTTATGCAACACAACATCAACCACTAAGTGATATTTACTAAACACTGCATTAGATGGTAAGGATTAAATGTAACATAAAACATAGGACTACTATCAAGGAGCTTACAGTTGGTGGTGGGGAAAACAAGTAAATAAATAATTAAATTTGTCAAGTAAAGTAGATAAGTTTAAGAGATGTAAGAAAGCACAAATAAAAGAATAGCAAATTGCATATTTTAATGGAGAATGAAAGAAAAGCTTCCTGGAGGAAGTAAAGTCTAATATAAAATATGATTTAATAAAAAATGAATAATATCAACAAATAAGATACACATTTGACTACACACTATTACCCTAGTTTATGAATATGTACAGAGGTCTGACAATTAAGTTTGCAAACTTGTTGAATTGATGTTGCTAGCCTTTATGGATATCAGAGGGATTGTTCATTATGAATTTGTACCAAATGGACAGTTAACCAAGTTTACTATTTGGAGGTGCTGAAAAGGCTGTGTGAAAAAGTTAGACGACCTGAACTTTTCTCCAACAATTTGTGGCTCTTGCATCATGACAATGTACCAGCTCACATGGCACTGTCTGTGAGGGGATTTTTAGCCAGTAAACAAATAACTGCATTGGAGCACCCTCCCTACTCACCTGATCTGGCCCCCAATGACTTCTTTCTTTACCGGAAGATAAAGGAAATGTTGAAAGGAAGACATTTTGATAACATTCAGGACATCAAGGGTAATATGAAGATAGCTCTGATGGCCATTCCAGAAAGAGTTCCAAAATTGCTTTGAAGGGTGGACTCGGCACTGGCTTTGGTGCATAGTTTCCCAAAGGGAGTACTTCGAAGGTGACCGCAGTGATATTCAGCAATGAGGAATGTATCATTTTTTCTAGGATGAGTTCACAAACTTAATTGTCAGAGCGGCATATGTGTGTGTGCACATATGTTGGCTTACTAAAAAAGATTAGATCATATATCATATAATCTCTTATTAATAGGATGTGAATTTTTTTATCATTTTAATACTTTTATAAATTTTTCAATACATTCACAATATTTTAATTATATACAGTATATGTGTGTATAATTATATATGTATATATGTGTGTCATTTATTATCAAAACAACCTCCAAAATATTAAATACATTTCTTGAAATAACTATAAAGCACAAATTCTTTTACTATTAACAATTACTATAGGGATGAAGTACAATGATGAAAATGTTTTTGTATTGAACAGTTGAGTTGCATTTTGAGCCAGATATGACAAGTATATTTAGAGTAATACAAGATGAACATACACATGGCAGACTGTCTTATATACTGTCATAAAACTGGAAGAATGATTGCACATATCTATAATTGTTTACAACTCTTAGAATTCAGAATTTTTCATACTTTAAAAAGACCCTAAAAACCTTGAGTTATTACCCTGTATTCAAGCGCAGCTATATTTCTGAAATGACATGTGTGACTATTCACTCAATGTGGAATAAATAATGACCATAAATATAGTCACATCAGTTCCTGTTAGCTTTTGCTGCCAATAAGTTTTGGTACCAAACTTATGAAAAAAAAAATTAGTTCTTTTCCAGATGTTTTTCAATGAATTATGAATAGAGTTGTTGATCTTTAAAAAGAAAAGAAGAGAAAAGAAAACTTTTAGAAAAGTCTTCCAAAGAAGCAATTAAAGAGCTATTGATATTAATAAGAACTGATGAGGAAAAGTTTGGCTGGTTAGATTACCGTGTGATGTGAGATGTCTGCTCTGCCACAAGTTGATTCCAGGGTCAGTGTCTGCTATAGTGTGATGC